ACACACATCCACACACACACACGCACACAAATGCACCTCCGACATGGATTTCGGAGCCCTCCATTTTATCCACACGTCACACGTCACAGGTCGCTAATGAATGGCTATCGACCCACACACAGTTCACCGAAGGACACTCACCGAAGGACACACAGACAGACAGCTGCTCACTCACACGTACCTAGTGTGCAGAAAAACCAACAACGGCCCGAGAACGGGCCTTAAGGCATCGCATCCATCGACAGGTGGGAAGACATGCAGACACACACGCCCCGCCCCGCCCCGCCCCGCCCTGCCCAGCGGCACTGCACGCGGCGCCGCGCAGTGCACCATGTCATGTATTGTATGCTATGCAGCTCAATCAACTGGCTGCCTCCCTCGTCTGTCACTCACATCCACTCCATTCACTCGACACGCACGCGGAAAGATGACGGCCGGGGGATTGGCCAGTCAGGGAAGACCTCTCTCAGCAAATTGAGGCACCCATCGCGCTTCGGCATGTGATCGCCGCGCCACGACAGAGACTCCTTGCCACCGTCGAAGCCATACAGACTCGAGTCCTCTACTATCACACCTGCAAAGTGGAAGCGCATCCATCGATGGGGCCTGCCTGCCTGCCTGCCCTGGGTGCTCACTCACATGCTTCTTGTTCGTCGCCACTGATGTAGGCAGTGAGCCAGTTGAACAGCATGTCCTCGCAGTTGCGCTCGCGGTTTATCAAATCAATCACCGGGCTGAATTAACGAACGGGTCAGTCACACACCACATCAAGGGAAGCGACATTGAGCCAATCCCTCTGTGTGTGAGAGTACCGACCGAGGCACGAGCTTCATGTACGCCAACAGGAGCGACGTGGACATGAGAGCCGCGCTCGTCAGAGCGATGTTGTCTTGGTCGCTGTCATTCTCGGTGCCGTAGTACAGGGTGGTCTTTGTGCCGTCCACACACCGGCGAATCGTCCGCCGATTCTCATGCACACTGATTATGCGCCTCGGGAACAGCCGTGCGGCCAAAAGAAACTTGTGGATATCAGCTGTGACAGACAAGCAACGAATCGCAGACAGATCACACACCAGCCAGTTTGTGTGCGTATGTACCGTACGTACCACAGGTGAAGGTCTTGTCGTCGTCGAGGATCAGCGTGAAGGGCGTGTCAATGTACTCGGCCACATAAAACCTCTCGCCAAGCCCCCGCTCCCCCGGGAGCACCCGAGTCTTTGTCGAACCCACCTGCCTGAGCTTCTCGTGCAGAGCCTCTCTGAAGCCGTCGATGGACTTGTCGTGCGGCACCCATTGTCCCCAATGTTGGTGTATCGGCACCCATGTATCGAGCACGATCTCTTTGACGAAGCCGCACCTCTCGAGGGCTGGGAGGTACCGAGCGACCCAGCGCCGAGCACGGGAGGGGCCCATCGTCACAGCCACCGTCACAGAGTTCTGCATTATATGAGCAGCGGGAGAGAAGGGGCAACACTGCCTGTCTGCCTGTCTTTGGTGTGGTGAATCACCTCACCTGCAAGTCGTCCGTGTCGGTTTCGTTCCTCCTCAGTACCAGAGTGGTCTGGCTGCTGAACGTGGCCCTCCGTCTGATCGGCGCTTTCCTCCTGCAGCCACCGCTGGGAAGCCACCGCTGCAGTGACGCGCCCTCCAGCGCTGTGTAGTTGTACGGGACAATGGCGGTGGGACCGGTGAGCGTGGAGGGCATGCGTGTGAGTGTCGTCCTCAGATAGCCCCAGTCGACGAGTATCCAGGTGGCTCCCGCCACAAGGGCAAAAGACAGGGGCTTCACGGCCCACATATGTAGCAGCCCTAGAAATTTACATTGAATTTACACTTGTACAGAAACGGTTATGGACGGTGGAATTGCTGTGCGATGGCGGCCAAATACACGACGCGAGTGGGGAACGCTGCGACGCGAGAAGGGGACGGAGGCGCCGGGACGCTCAGGAGACGGAGGTCTATCATCGGGACTGGTATTGTGAGGCAGACTGGTGCATGGTCGTGGGCAGATAAATGCGGGCGGGGATGTGTTCTGTGTGTCGATCAGCGTTGGTGGTGTTTCTTGTAACCAATGTTGGGCTGTTGCTGCTGAGGTGTCTGGAAGACTTATTGCTGCTGAGGGAGAGCGTCGACGCCATGAGGTGAGCAGAGAGTGGAAAGGGAGATGGGCAGCTGGACACAGAGGCGCAGACACAGAACACACCGCCTCTCCCTGTTTGTGTATGCACGTGTGTGCCCCTCTGGTCAGGAGTATGCAAGCATCGCGTCTCGCGGGTGCTTCGGTGACCAGTAGCGCCGCAGGGCAGGTACGCCATTCCTTCTCATCCATGCAGGATGGCGACGATGGTTTTGTGGGCGAGTGGCAGGTCACACAGATCGTCCAGAAGCTGCTTAGAGGTGAGGTGGGGGGGTGCGCCGCAACGCAATCAATACACACGCACGATGGCCATGAGCGTGTGACTGCCCGACCGATTGCCCCACACACACAGGTGCTGGTCTCCGGCCGCCTGACACGACGTCGAAGGACCAGCACCATGAGTCACTTGGCTTCTACGATGCGGGTCGGTACACGGAGGCGGAGAGATGGGAGCTGAAAAAGAGAAACAGAGCCCTCATGTGGCACAGACAAGTATACCGACCGACCGACAAAGACATTTGAAGGGACGCAACCGGCGTATCCACCATCTGTCTGTGTGCGTGCGTGGGCGTGTGTGTGTATTATATGTGTGTGCAGATGGACCCGAATTGGCTGAGCAAGGTCAGCGAGGTCAAGGGCCACGGCCCCACCTTCTACCAGATGTTCTTCGAGCCCGACTGGAGCTGCGAGTGGGCAGACAGACATACAGACATCCCCACCTCACCTCACCTGAGCCACACGTGCACACAAATCATGTGTAGGTATGATTGTCTGTGCTGTCTGTCTGTCAGGTTTGAGATGCGACTGGGCACTCTGGGCGATGGCGGCAAGTGGGTCTGTGACCCTGACAGGTAGGTCGGTACCTCAGCCACTCACAGACAGACGCGTGCATACAAATGCATATTCACATGCAGGATCATTTCGCGTAGCAAGGCGTCGGGCGAGCCCTGTCTGGTGTACTCTGTGGGCGGCTCCAACGAGGTGAGTGAGTGAGTGAGTGAGTGAGAGGGGGATGGATGGATGGATGGAGGGGCTTGCGGCACACGGTGTGCTCTGCTCTGCTCAGTGGTCCTTCGAGGACAGCGTACACAAGACACTCGGATGCGAAGTCCACACCGTACGCACCGCAGGGAGGGAGGGACACACGCACCCATGTTGTCAGTCTGTCAATGGTGTGGGTGGGTGTGCGGGCGGGCGGGCTGATGGCTTTAGTTTGATCACACTGTCGCGACTCCGAAGGCCAAGCCCAACCACGTCATCTTTCACAGATGGGGGATCGACTGGCCGGGATCGGGGTGGGTATGTGGGTGCAGTGCAATGGGCGTCTCCCTCCCTGGCTCACATCCGTCCACCTTTTGATGTATGTGTTCAGGGCCAATCTGCAGGCCGACAGCCCCGGGCCCCTCACAGCAGGCTTGAACGAGATCATTACGTGAGACTGGAGTGGGTGGGATGGGTGGGATGGACGACGCACAGAAGGCAAGACGGACTGTCTGTCTGTCTGTCTGTCGTGTGTGGATGTGTCTAGTGCGTTGGGCCACGAGACACGCGAGATTGACATTCTCAAGATTGATGTGGAGGGCGCCGAGTGAGCAAACGCAGCGCAGAGAGAGACAACTGCGCATCCCTCTCTGTGTGTGTATGTGTGTTGGTGATCAGGTTCAGGTCGCTCACCCCATTGTTGACGAGTGGAGCATGGAGGAGAAGGCCACCGATACGACAGGCGAGCCGAGCAAGGAAGGACCACCGCCACCCACCCATGTGGTGGCATCCCATCCAGGCAGACAGACACCTGACTGACCTGTGCGTCAATCAATACGTCTGTGTGTTATGTGGTGTGTGTGTGTGTGTATGTGTGTGGCTGCATTGCCACCAACTGCAGGTGTTGATCGAGGTGCACGTGTTGGGGATCAACAAGCAGAAGGTGGTCGACTTGAACAAAGAGCTGCTCAGCGCATTCCTCAACAACGGGTCAGGCAGGGTCAGGCGGGCCACATGCACATTCAGACAGACAGACAGACAGACGGACACACACGTCGATGGATTGGATGTCTGTGTCTGCTCTGCATGCCTCGGTGTCAGATACGTCTTGTTCCACAAGGAGCCGAACATTCAGGTGCACAGACAGACAGACAGAGAGACTGGATGTGCAGTGGATGGTGGCTGGATGCGATGCATGTGTGTGTGTGTGTGTGTGGCAGCACGCGGGCGGCAACTGCGTCGAGTTCGCCTTCCTGCAGCTGGACCTGCCCACACCACCAGACAAACCCACATAGCCACACACGCAACCCGGGCCCTCAATGTGTGTATGGGCGTGAGTGTAGGTGTAAGTAAGCGTATGTGTCTTATGCGTCTCGTCAGCCACTGTGTGCATTTGTCGCTCCGACACTCACTGGTCGGTCGATTGCCCAATTACTTACAAGTGCTTGATGGATATCGCCCGCAAAAGGGCGACACGCAGCTAGCTGTTTTTGGCTGGGTGCAATCACTGCGCGTGTGCATGGCATGGATGTCTTGTCCTTCCTGAGACATTGGATGTGTGCAGTAGGCATGAGGGTGTGCGCAGACAGCCCAGACCTTCTTGATTGGGGAGGGCACATGTACAGTAGCTAGCTAGCCCCAACAGACAGACACCCACAGTCATTTCATTCACAGAGAACGGACGGGTGCGGCGTTTGTCTGTGCCTGCCTGTTTGTTTTTTTGCTCACACCGATGCGCGCGAGCGCTCATACAGTCAGTCAATCTGACCGTCAGATTACGGAGGAGTGGACATCCACTGAGTCAGTCAGTCTGTCTGCGTGTGTGTGTGCGTGCCACTGATCGACTGCTTGACGAAGATGCGAGTAAGTACGTGTGTAGATGAGATGCAACTGTGTCCATGTGCCAACAAGGTGACCGATCTTTCAACCTCTCTATACATTCATCCCGATTCATCCCCCATTCATCCCGATTCATCCCCCATTCATCCCGATTCATCCCCCATTCATCCCAATTCATCCCCCATTCATCCCGATTCATCCCCCATTCATCCCAATTCATCCCCGATTCATCCCCCATTCATCCCGCGCCAGAGCTAGAAACTCCACATTGCCGGAGGAGATACCGTCCCCCATGGCCAGCTGCGAGTCCACACTGCAGCTGGCGAGTACCTGGCCGTGTGGTCGAGAGGTGATGGCCACACCCCAGATACAGTACCAGTAGCAGACTACCTCCCCTGCCTGCGTCCTTGTGCTGCTGCACCATCCGGCGTGAGACCTCAGCTGCCGCAGACCCGTACACAGCGGGAGTGCCCGGCACTCAGCCGTCGCGGAGCGGACAGGAGAAGCGATCGGCTGCGAGCTAAGCCGTGAGGAGGATTTGAAAGTGCCTCATCTCGTGTCGGCTGCGATGATGGAGCAACCGGAGCAACAGGACCAGCAACAGCAACATCCCTTCTCGTACATCTTGGTTGGTCGTCGCACGTTCTACCTCCTCAGCCTCACAACATACTCCAGCTGAGGGCCACCTGCACGTGGCTCGAAGGTCTTTTCGGAGCGGCCCAGCTAAAAGATCGGCTCCGTCACTCTGTCGGCTCGCAGGCGGGGCTGCGGCGGGTGGTCAACGGGCAGCAAGTGCAGCTGGTGCGGTTCGACGATGACCAGTTCGGCGTGTGTGATCTGCTGGCGTGGCGGCTGTGTGTGTGATGGAGGAGGGGAGCTGGGTGGAGATCGGCGTGGTGATTGAATGGGCCAGCCAGTGCGGCAACTGTGAGCTGCCTGTCAAGCTCACGTCAGATGACATCAACACACACGCCAGCAAGACGGTAAGGCACACACACAGATGGGGGCGGGGAGAGAACAGAGAGGCCTCATTCCCTCTCTCTCTGTGTCTGTGTGGTGTAGGCGTATGGATCGGTAGCTTGTGTGTTGGCGCAGCTCATGGTGGTCGGCCGCCTCCTGGACTTCGGTGACGGCAGCTGCCTGCAGGTCTTCCGCCGTGCGAATGGTGAGGTGCGGGCCATCAGGGACGAGCCCGGCTTCCGGCTGCAGGTCAACCCGCCCCTCGCTGCCGACCATCTGTATCAGCAGCACCGACTACAGCATGACCCACCAGTGCGGAGCTGCATCAACTATCGGGGCAACACCGGCAGATGGGTGTCGGGCGGACTGTCCGAGTATGCGTCGTTGTCGTCGTTCGCCAAGCGCATGATCCACAACCACTTCTACGAGACTCACCAGATCAATGACACAGGGGTAGACCTCAACAGATGACGACACGTCAACGGCCCAAGTGGCGAGAGGGGTGCGTGTTTGACTGGGTGTCTGTGTGTGGTTGGTTCAGGCGTGTTGGCGGCGGCCGTCTGGATGGCCTCCTCACCCAGTCGCCCCACACACCGGTGGCCGGATGCACCACCACATTGAGCCGGGTTGGTGATCTGCGGTACCTGGTGCTGGTGCTGACCGACAGCAGCCACGAGTTCGTCGCGTGGATTGCCATTCAGGATTGGGGGGACGGCATCGGTCAGGCCGACAGACAGGCAGCTCCGCTGGTCAAATGTTCTCAGTGTTTTCTTCCTGCTTGTCTGTCTGCAGTGGATGTGTGTGTCGAGACGACCGAGTCGCCTGTGGCTGGTGCAGCTGCGCCCTTCAAGGACCGCTTCCCGGTCACCACTCGGCTGGCTCGCGTGGCGTTGGGGTCAGGTGTGGTGCCATACGTCTTCGACGGACAAGTACAACAACAGCAGCAGCAGCAGCAGCAAGATGACGACAGCGACGATGGTACGGACATACACGCACATTGGTGGACGGATGGACGATGGGCTTCTTTATGTGTGTGGTGCAGACGGAGATGGTGGCGATGAGAGTGACGAGATGGATTATGACAGCGATGGGGGCAGCGGAGGTATCACGAGCAAAAGGCACACAGCACCAATGCGTCGCATGCATTTCTGTGGGCGTGGGTGTCTGGATGACAGGCGACAACGCACCAGCCGAGGAGGAGAATGTCGACTGATCCACCTACCGATCCGTCAATAGCGGGGCACCACAGGTATGCACATACGCCAGGCAGTGCGGCAGATCTTCCTCCTGTGATGTCATGGGCTCTTGCCGTGTGTGTGTATCCTCTGTGTGTGGTTTTGGCAGGATGTTTGGAGTGCTGTCCGCAGCTGCTGGCTTCTCATCCCTTTGTCATGTGTGCGACGCCTCCCATGACACAGCAGACTGCGTGGCTAGAGGGCCTTTCTCTACAGAACAATTTGGAGGGGTAGATAGGCTGCGTGCCTTAACATGACGGTTATGTGTTGTTGGACCGTGTTGGATCGATCGATGCTGCCGAACTGTTTCGTATGATTTGGTATAAGATGAGATTCATCGAATCGACAGGACAGCGTATTTACACACCACATGACAGTCATGAGGTCTGGTCGCCTTGCTGTCAATAAATGCAGCGCATCGTCACACCAACAAACCTATCGACTCATCGATCCATGGCAGCTTCACAAAACAGTCACCCCATCAAAACCTCCGGTGCACCCCCCAACCCCCTACCCCGATCACATCGGTCAGGCAGTCAGTCGCCCCTCAGCCCTCGCCGCCGTCCCCATTCTGTTTGGTCATCTTGAGCAGCTCGCAAATGAACGACCCTGACCGTGTCGATGCCCCACCCACACCCACCGGCAATGACCTGAAGAGGCAGAGAGACGGACAGTGGTGTGTTTGGGGTGTGTGAGGATGGTCTTACGGTGCCGTCATTTGGCGCATGTCTTGCCGCCTTCGGATGGCATCCCTCGCACCATCGGGCAGCCCCCTCTCTGCACAGACACCCAACCCACACACACAGACAGCCGCACAGTGTGTTCACGGGTGCGGCGAATTTCATTTCTCTCTCTCTCTTTCTCTCTCACCGATTGCGTCGACACAGTCGCCCACAGGCTTCCCCTGCCGCAGTGCCTCGACCAGGTTGTCATAGGCCTGCGAATACTCCTGTCCACACAAAAAGAATCAAACCACACACACGTCATGGACTGAGCAGCCCTCTGTGTGTGGTGTGGTGTCACCGACCCCCCCACCTTGAGCAGCAGCACGGCCTGCGTGACGGCCCATCGGGCCTGCAGAGTGACGCGCGGCAGCGACCAGGGCGGGAAGATGTCCCGACCAAGGAACAACCGCTGCAGCAAGTGACAGGACACACACACGCAGATGAGCACTCAGGTGGGTGTGATGCCTCCTCTCTCTCCACTGACGGCGCCCATCCCATGGTCTCACCAGTGCGGCCTCGTCGCTCCTGCCGCCCTCTGCGTTGCCGAACTGCAGTGCCTCTGCGGCAATGCCGGCCATGGTGATGATGGACAGCCTGTCGATGGTCTCACGCCTCAGCTGCCCGCGCATCACCTTCTCCTTGATCTCAGGCACGAAAAAGATCGTACCTATACACACACACACACAGAGAGAGATAGATACAAACACATCGTGCCCATCGTCTGTGTGCGGTTGTCTGTCCCACCTCCCTGTCCGGCCACGAGTGCCTTCTCTTTGAAGAGCTGCGGCACCGTCACGATGCACCGCTGGATGGGGGCCCCCAGCAGGTAGCCGATGAGGAAGTGGCCCGCCTCGTGCTTGACAATCCTCTCCTGGTAGGGGGGAAAGACCACCCGCGCGACGCTCTTTGAGAGAACGGATCGGAAGAACAGGGAATCCACCAACACCGCACCACACTGATGGTGAGTGACACACATCGATGGATGGGCGGATACGGTGTGTCATGGGCTGTTGTCTCACCTCTAGAGGCACTAGAATGTTGAGCGTCTCGGGGGGCAGCAGGGCGATCTGCGCCAGGGCGAAAGCCACACCGCTGAGACACACACGCAGACACACACCATCCAGAGAAGTGAGACGCGTCGTGCTGTGCTTTTGGTTGTTCGGTTCGGTCATGACTTACGCGACGGACCAGAAGACCCCCGAGCCCTTAGGTGTGAGTTTGTCCAATGTAAAGTTGGTGTACTTCTCTATGTTGGCATTCTGCAGCTCCACGTTGGTCTCCGCCTGGCCAGCCATCGGCCTTTAGGGGACTGTTATCAAGCGAGTTTGAGTCCAACAGCTCACACATGCAGGTGCCACAAAACCGTCCGTCCCATACTCACTCACTCACTCACTCACTCACTTTTCCTCTCTGCCATCGAACCACTTGGCCAGAACAAAGTTAATTGCGACTTGAAAGAAAAAGAGCCCTGCGAGGACGACTGCGAGCCGTTCACTTTCCCCTGTCTCCTTCAGCTCTGACACAAAGCGTTCGAGCCAATCGGGCTGGATGCCATCTTGCCTCTCCAGGCTGTACAGAATGAGCCATATGACGAAAAGTTGAGGGAATGTCTTCGCGGCAATCCCCTGGACGGCTTTCAAGGTACCCTTGGCGACTACCTTGGCCGCCGTGTCCCACCCTGCTGCAGAAGGGGAGCAGACACAGTGGGTCAATCAACGGTCTGTGCTGTCCATTCACCTGGTTGTGGAGCGCTCTCAGTCTCCGTCTTATCCTGCACTCAAACGGGGAGATCGATGCACATCCACTTAGACGAATGGCTGCCAGTGAAGTCATTGATGGTCTCTCACCGGGCGCGCGTGTGGTCTGCTCGTAGGTTCGGTCAGCAGCCACGGACGATGCTCGTACTCGTGAGGCTGCGACGTCAGGCCTCCTCTGTGCTTGGTGGTGTGGGAGAGGCGGACGGGCGGCACAACGAAGGCAGACACCGCCGATAGCTGGCAGCTCTTCACTGCCAGCAGAACAAGGCAAAGCACCAGCAGCTTCATAGACACACCTGAAATGCACAGGCAGGCAGGCAGGCAGGCAGGCAGACGGTGGTGTGCGTCGGGGAGAGCATTTCCTCTGTGTGTCAGGCGAACCTCACGGAAGGTTGAAGCGTCATTCGCTTTGCGGAATGAATGGCAATAAGGCGACTGGGGATGGAGGCTTCATTGCTGCGGAGAGGGGATGAATCCGTAGCTCCAACGCTCTCTTCAGATCTCCTGGCTTATGCGAGCTTAGAAGCTCCATGTGTTGACAGCTTTGCGTAACGGCTGGGGCGGCTGACGGACGATGGCCACCCAGGAGCATCCCGTCAGCCACCTGTTTGTCGGCAGCCGAGGGCATCTGCCCGATATCGTCACGGCGGCCCGCCGCAGAGCCACATCGCGGCGCATCCGGGATGCTTTCACCATAGCCGAGCTGCGCAACCGCCTCGCCAAGTCACTGAGCCGTGATGGGGACGGCATCAACACCCCACAGCTGCAGCTGCTGCGGTTCGACCCATCGCTGGGCATGGGTGACCTCATGGCGGCGGTGTGGATAGCCGAGGAGGGCGGGCGGTGGGATGAGACGGGGGAGGTGCTGCAGCTGGCCAGCCAGTGTGGCTACTGTCAGCTGCCCCTCAACCTCACGGCCGATGACATCAACACACACGCCAGCAAGACGGTAAGGTACGCACACAGATGGGGGCGGGAGGGAACAAACAGGCCTCATCCATTCCTCTCTCTGTGTCTGTGTCTGTGTGTGTGGTGTGGTGTGGTGTGGTGTGGTGTGATGTGGTGTAGGCGTATGGATCGGTAGCTCGTGTGTTGGCGCAGCTGATGCTGGTCGGCCGCCACATCGACTTCGGTGACGGCAGCCGCCTGCAGATCGTCCGTCATGGCGACGGTGAGGTGCGGGCCATCAAGGACGAGCCCGACTTCGAGCTGGGCGTCGACCCGCCCCTCGCTGCCCACCATCTGTATCAGCGGCACCGACAGCAGCATGACCCACCAGTGGCCAGCCGCATCTTCTACCTGGGCGCCACCGGCAGATGGGTGTCGGGCGGCGACCCCTACGCCGATGCCTCAGTGTCGTCGTTGGCCAAGCACATAGTCCTCAGCCACTTCTACCTGACTCACCAGACCAATGACACATCGATATCACTCAACAGGTAACGACACGTCAATGGCACCAGTGGTTGCGTATGTGATTGTGCGTGTGTGTGTGGTTGGTTCAGGCGTGTTGGTGGCGGCCGTCTGGATGGCCTCCTCATCCAGTCGCCCCACACACCGGTGACCGGATGCACCACCACTCTCAGCTCGGACGATTGTGTGCGAGGTCTGATGCTCACCGACAGCAGCCACCCCTTCGTCGCGTGGATTACCATATCGGTTGCGGGCCTCGGCACCGGTCAGGCCGACAGACAGGCAGCTTCGCTGCTGTCAAGTTATCAGTGTTATCTGTCTGTCACTGTCTGCAGTGGTGGTTTTTGTTCGGACCACCGAGGCGCCTGTGCGGGAGAGTGGTGCCTTCAAGGACCGCTTCCCAGTGACCACTCAGCTGGCCCGTGTGGCGCTGGGACGAGTGGCGCCATACGTCTTCGACGGCCAAGTAGACGATGACATTGACGATGATGACGGTGCGGTCAGGGGAGGGAGGGACACACACACATTGTGGCAATGGATGGATGGCTTCTCTGTCTGTCTTTGTGTGTGGTGTAGATTCCGACGGCCATGGCGGCGGCTGGGATGATATGGATGACGACAGCGACGGAGAGGACAGCGGAGGTACACACACGAGGGGAAGGGACACACACAGCCGACGACAGATGGACCCACACCGACCCGTATCACATTCAGGTTTGTGTGTGTGTCTGCATGACAGGTGACAATGCATCTGAAGCCGAGGAGGAGAATGCTGACTGATATCACTCAATCAACGCTGCGGCACCACAGGTACTCACACACACCAGACAGTGGGCCAGAGTCTTCTATCTTTATGTATTGTCCTGTCTGTGTGTGTGTGTGTTGGCAGGGTGTCTGGAGTGCTCTCTGTGGCTGCTGGCTGCCCCGAATCCACTCATGCCTGTCTGTGGTAGAGAGAGATCGTATACCGCCCACTCTGTAGAGAGACCAGCTGCTGACACATGACTGCCCCAATGGCTGTGGGTGGGCGACCTGTCTGCATTGCCCCGTCCAGCCTCTCTGCACCTCCCTCCCTCCCTCCCTCTCTCTCTCTGCGTTGATGTCTACCTCTCCTGCTGCCTGGCTGCTTGGCTGGGGGGGGGGGGGG